ATGAAATTCAAATTTTGTTGACAGTGTATATTGCTTTGCAATTTGTGGACAAAATCGATCGTTTTTTATGCACAATACATGCATAAACGTGAATAAACCTGTGCAGTTATCAAATATTTTACCAACAAGTGCAGCAGCTCACCAACATTTCAATCGTGTTAATTATCAAGTTCAAACTTGGTTAGGGCATGATTTAGAACCCTTAGAATGGGGTTGGACAATGCGTAACGAACTCCTGGAACCTATCATGACAGTTGTAGAACCTGCTCCAGAGGAATTGCTCATCACAATATTCTGCAACTGCAAGAATGGTTGTGGTTCGCGATGTGATTGCAGGAAATCGGGGTTGCAATGCTCTAAAGCTTGTGACTAAGCTTGTCTCAGTGCTTTACCATATCAGAGCGAGGTCAATGGAGACAAAACCTTTCACCCCGAAGTCATAGAATACCTGCAGACAAATGTCGCTGAAGACGATGAAGAAGAGGACTTTGGAATACTACAGCGGTCGGAAGACGACGATGAAGAAGGAGAAAATAATTAAAATTGTCATTCGCAGTTTTTTGTAAAATGATATTTACGTATTTACCAATGATTGATAAATTTTATGTTTCTGTTGATTTCGCCGTTGTCTTCTTTGGTTACAATCTCCAAACTGCGGCAGTCATCTTTACTGGCGTGGTCGAAGTACTCTTCTTGACGTGTCGCCACTGAAGATGACTGCCGCAGTTGCAGTTGAAACGTTTGGAGATTGTAACCAACGAAGACCATGGCAAAAGCCAGAAACCAACTACAACAATTGACGCCAGCCATGAAATCCTACATTCCTATATTGAATGCTGGAAATTACTTTTCGACAGCATGTAGTCAGGCAAATTTTGAAACAGCTCAATATTATGAGCTGTTTCAATGACGGGTCCTAATGAAGGACCCGTCATATTACTTGCACAAATGAACTCGCACCAGTATTTTGCAGACTCTTTCAACCTGACTTACAAGAAAAGGGTTTTTCCTTCTTATTGGAAGATTGCTCGTGTTTAGCCTATTTCCAAAAGGGGCAAGAAAAATCCTCCAAACAACTAGAGACCAGTCGCTTTGCTATCAGTGATATCAAAATGATGGAGAAACTCGTAAACCATCCTATCCTCATATATTTGGAAGGCTGCAACATTTTGAAAGATCATCAATATGGCTTTCGGAAACAAAGATCAACAGGCGAGATTTTATCGTATGTCACCCATATTTGGAATAACGCAATCGAGAAACATGGAGAATCAAGAGCTGTTGCGCTTGATATTTCAAAGGCCTTTAACCGTGTGTGGCATGAGGGTTTGCTGGCCAAACTTCGATGCTATGGCTTGTCGGATCATTTTTGTGTATGGCGCTCCAGCTTCCTGAAAAAACGTCCCCTGCAAGTGGCCATCAATGGATATATCTCGAATACTTTCACCATCAACGCTGGTGTTTTCCAGGGATCCATATTGTCTCCAACCCTCTTTTTATTGTTCATCAACGACTTATTGGAAAAAAACAAGAATCCAATATACTGTTTTGCTGACGACAGCATTCCAGTTGGATTCCAGGACATCGGCTAGGAAGGCACATCTTCACAGGCAGCAGGAGGATGCATATCCTTATGAAGATCCGAAGATGATTTCCAATTGACATGAAAATAACCAGGTTGAATTGAATGCCACAAAAATCCAGGCATCGAATTTTTCCAAGAAGATGAATGTCTCCGAACTGGATATCATAATGTCAGGTCAGACAATTTCGCTTTCTGCTTCGATAGGTTTTTTGGGGGCTAAAATGGCACAATTGGCACAATCATGTCGCTGGAATTGCAAAGGCTGCTTCTCAAAAGTATGGAACACTGTTTCGAACAAGAAAACTGTACACACCTCTGCAACTTTTAATGCTTTTTAAAGCTCAGATAAGACCTTCTATGGAGCTCTGCCCCCAAACATACCCTGAAAGAGCTGTATTCCATCCAGAAAAGAGCCATCTGCCTGATTAGAGACGCGTGCAACCTTGATAGCCTGGAACATCGAAGAATGGTTGGAGATTTATCCCTTTCCTTTGACGGGAAGTGTTCAAGTGACTTGGCACATTTGATTACACCAAGAGCGGTACATATCAGAAATACGTGATAGACTGTGGCTACTCATCGTTTGAGAGACTCAACCGGTTGACATTAAATAATTATCCGCCCTTTATGTCGAAAACGATTCAACGAATGAAAAATTTATGAAATGTGATACTCTCTACGAAATTGATAATGAATACAAATAGCTAAAAACCCACAGGATACGAGATATTTGCAAAAAATGTGCAAAAAATCGATTTTTGTGGCGCTTGACCTCAGATATTAATAGTCCCATATACCCTCAGTATATAGGTTTCAAGACAACTTTTAGGATGTTAAAATACAAGTTCATGCGAGTTTATAGCTGTGTATCTCAAATTCCGAAGTGAAGTTACTAAGATGACTGAACTACGAAATGTTTTAAAGATCTGGAAACCTCTTTTTTAGCGGAAGTAGCTTTTGAATTTTTTATGATTCAGTATAAGGCTACATCTCATTTTCAGACTTTTCGACAAAAATGTGATTTCTCAAAGCCCTGAAATAATTGTCAAATTGTCTCATGGAGAAACCTTTATGTATTTGTGTGTTTTGGATACTCGTACCTCGTTGAAAAGGACGCATATCGCCTTACTTTACATTGTTATTTTTTAATTTTTTGGAAATTGTAAATACACGTGCAAATTTTTACACTTTTTTGAACTGTTAATTACTAGTGTATCCCATAGATTTTCCTAAACATTTGAAGTTTAGTTAATACTCTCAGATGACTATTTTGGTTTTTCTAAACAAACGTTTGAGAAAATATCTGAATTCTCAGTTTATATTATCTCCAATTCAGTAATGGTGAGTATTCAATTCGAATAAGAAAATGTGTGATATATTTACAATTTTATATTAATAAAAATCGATTTTGATTACAATTTCAAAAAAGAAAGTCGTTCGAAAATTTCATGTGAGTCTGTTAGTAAAAAAATTGGAATGTTGGCGACATCGAAGTCGCTAATCAAAATAAGTAAGTTGTCTTGCTTTTCCGATATAACCGGATGAACCACCATCCTAGAAATATTTCAGCCAGATTTTTTCTAACATTTGAAAATTTTCAAAATACGGTTTTCCGTATGTACTTCGAGATTGAACAAAATCAAATCATATGTCACTTTCATTGATCACTGTAAAGAGAATACAACTGAAAACGTACTCCTTCCCAGCATTTCCATAAGCGTTTCATGATTACTCGTCGATACTCCTCCTCTTCTTCCCAAATCGTCCAGAAGCAACAGTTCCTGCGCCTGTTTCTCATTCGGAATCGTCCTCACTTCGAATATCATCAGAATCACTACTACAACCACACTCTTCACGATACTATTCCTGAAGATGGCCGACATGTTCGAAACACTGCACTACTTGATCCCGCGAGACATTCAAAAATAATCACCTCAGCATCGATGTTTTCCAGTTTGCACATTCCGAATTTTGGGTCATTTTTCTCCGGAAGTTCAGCGGAATTTCATTCACGACCGTTTCCCAGCCGTCAAAATTCACAACGAAGAATGAACGAATGAGTGCATGTAGAGCACTAACAAAGTGACTTTCCTAAGTATAGGAAGTCCCACGGTTAACTGAAGACACGTTAACGGCCTGCTTTGTTTACGTGAAGAAGAGGCAATTACGACAAGTGAAAGTTCTACGTCGTTTATGGGGAGAAACCGTTTTCGACATTTTTGCAAATTAATTTTTCGGGGGTTATGAATGGAGGTACCTGAACCACTTTGTTGTGATGACATTCCTTAAAAAAATTGAGCAGTTCTCTACAATCTTATACGAGGGCGGTTGAAAATTATGCAAGTCTATTCAGTTTAGTATCTTGTAGAAATGAACGTAAATTCGCAGTAAAATTACAAGTTCTCCAATCAGGAAGAATATTCAACAATAAAATAACAGAATTTGAATAATCGTTAGCAATAATTGTTATAATTATGGATTATTTGTGATTCTATTTGGAAATTACAGTATATTACAATTATTTGGGAATAATATGTGAATATTAGTATTTTTGCAATCGGTTACTGTAAAATATTGTGGATTTAGTGGATTGTAGATTGTGGAAAAATTTCCAACTTCATGTAAAAGTGAAGAAACTGCCCGCATTCACAATACACATCAGCAATAATTGATAGAGTCCAAAAGAAGTTTTTAAAATTTCCTACTTTCAGAATGACATGGACCTATCCTCCAAGAAACTGTGATTACCCTGATCTGCTATGCAGATTTGACTTTGTAGCCATAGAGAAAAAAGAATAAATCAGGCATATGTTTCATTTCTATATAAGCTATTGAATGGCAAATTGGATTGTCCTGTACTATTATCAGAAATTGATATATTAGTTCCAAAAATATCTTCTAGGCACATCAATACTTTTTTATGCAAAAGGACACAAACTAACTTAATGTTGAAATCACCAATCAATCTGATGTGTCGTAATGCGAACAAGCTCTCTACTAATATCAATATTTTTGTTGCAGTATTTGTGAAATTAAAAATAACTCTCTTGCGTACCTATAAGTCATTTATGTTTTTTATATCAAACAGTATTATTCCTTCAAATATGTTAGTATTGCTCTGTAAATGAGAAACTGTTGGGCAATAAACGCTATTATTATTATTATTATTCCATTGTTCTGTCATCGCGGTATTCTCAGTGGATGAAAATCATAAAATCATTTTTCTGGGACAGATTCAAAATATTTCGATTTCAACAAAACTTCTCATAACCAAGTGATATGTTAGCAGTAATCATATCTATAGTGTAAACTGTTTAAGGTACAAATGAAGAATGAAGTCAAAGAGAACAATTTCACACTTTTTGTGAATTCAGACGACTTGATTCCCGTAACAACTTTCCCAAATCTAACTTACTAGCATTACTGAGGACACCTACATCGGGCCGATGTGTAGGTGTGTGCGAAGTATCTCTATCGACGCAGCAGGACCAGATCATGCCTCCAGAACAAAGATCTAAAGGTCGGCCGCCTCCAAGTACACAGCTGATGCTCAATCCACATTCGTATTTGTGCCCACGAAAGCGGCAGGATTGCGGAATCACTGAAAATGAAAATTTCTATCAGAAATGAAAAAATATTGTTCATTTCACGAATTATGAAAGAGTTTAAGTTGGTGAAGGAACTATGGAACTTTTCATTGTCCTATCAAAAATTTCAGCACAATCTAAACGGCAACTCAGATTTGACAAAATACCAAGTGAAGTCTTCGACAGATAAGTAATATTTTTCGAAAACTATGTTTCAGCTCTCGTTTGTAGGTTGAGCAATGGTTGAACCAGCTATCGCCCCTATGTGAATTATAACCCTCAAGTTGAAACTCACAAACTACGATAGGGAAGTAAATTCAAGAGTGGTTCCAATGGTAGCTTTCGTTACACTTATCATTTCCAAAAAATTTCATTTCTCAGCCCTGGCTACTCTGTTAATGGTAGTTACTTGTTTTATCCTTGGCCCCAAACTAAAGATGCTCATGTTATCATGGGGTCCCATGACGTATAGACATCATACTCAGCACCACGTATTTCTGCAGGCGCATTCGACCACCATTACTGCCACACCCATCTTTTTTGTTAGTACATTTTGGTTCCAGATATTCAAACATTCCTGACAGTTATATATTTTTTCTAGAGGTTCTGATTCATCCAGCGTGGTACTTTTGGTATGTATGGTCGGGCTTATCTAGCCAATTACAAGAATATAATATGCAACCATTGAAAGAGCGCCGTGAGTCCTCGGAAGTGATTTTTGTTTTTAACATTCCTAGAGAACTAAAAGTACCTACCTGAAATTCTTTATACTACTGATTTTATTGTAACTGACGTAAGACTGAGGAGAAGAGACAATCTACTTCGTGTCTCAAACAATTCGGCTTCTCTTCAACAATGTCTCGGAACCGTTAACAAAATGGTGAGGATCTGTTAACTGGATATATTCAGTATTACAGAGGAAAACTCCTTCGAATGCTCAAATGTGCCAGAATTTTTTTACGATCCATTTATTATTTATCGTTTTATATCGTTATATTTTATATCGATCAATGGTACTCAATGAATACTATATGTGAGAATCTTTAAAAAACTGTGCATCATGTAAGCGGAAACCGTTCTGTTTGTTGTTCAGTATAAACACATTTTTATTCTATCTTACCAATTTCAAGCTGAAGCTTTTTCAAACAAACAAAGTGTGTGTGAAATATCATCAAACATTTTGGTTCATTCGAAAGACCTATTGATGCCATCTGGTGTGGAATATAACATCGTCCAAATGTTCGCCACGGTTTCTCTGAGAAGAGCGCATCCGAAACGTACAATTTCCCATGACTCTGGCGCATAAATCATGCTGAATTTGACTGCTGATATGGGTTCTGTATCTGTAGAGTAGGGAGGGTGAATGTAAGCCCACATCACTTAGGCCACATGTGACCCATTATACATCCTCTCAAGGGGTTGTCCTCCTAGGTCATCGTCCATCCTGTCCTTTCCAGGAAGGTGAATAGATAACTTTATATCAGCAGGTGTAGACCGAAACTCGCCGAACACACACTCTCTTATTGACGATAACTCCGGGCACTCGCACAGGACATGTCTCATCTTCCTGTTCACACATCCTGCATAGAGGTGTGTCCACTAGCTCCATATTATGGAGGTGTTTCGCTAGTTGACAGTGGCCAGTCAGAAATCCCACTATTACGCGTAGATTTTTCCTGGTCATCGCTAGATATTTCTTCGGCGCCAGCTTCCCAGGGTCGCCCAAGGTGATCCTGGCGAGATTACATCCTTTAATTCCATCCCATCTCTTCAAGGATTGAGCATGGGTGTAACATTTGACTAGTTTCGCAATTGTCGAAGTCATCAGGCCTTAGGTGCCACTGGGTCCTGAAATTCTTAGTCCAGCCGCTTCCTTGGCTGAAGAGTCGGCAATGCGATTACTTTTACTCCTGTCGTGCCCTTTAACCCACCTCATGATAATGTTATTATCTACCGAGGCTTTGGCTAAATCTTGATGGCACTCTAGTGCTAGCCCTGAAGTAACACGGTGTCTGTTCAAGGCTAATAGTGCTTGTCTGCTATCAGTGCAGATTGTTATGTTTCTGCCAGACATTCCTTTCTTGGTTATTTCTTTTGTGGTGATTAAGATACCAACCAGTTCTGTTTGGACCACGCTTGATCCTTAAGCTTAGTGATCTGGAGTACACTCCACATCCTGGGCCTTCTTTGTTTTTTGAGCCGTCTGTATAATGTCGTATTGCATTTGTCGTACTGCTCAATTTGTATTTTGTAGGTTTTATCGAACACAAACCTGGGTTCAATTGCCACAATTGACCCATTCCTACTTCGAAGTTTACACCAGCCGTGCGCAATCGTACCATGGCAATTAACGCAACCTCCTTAACGTACAGATCCAGAGGGGTCAGACCCGTGATCAATTCCATTGGCGCGGTTGGTGTTGTTCTCATGGCTCCTGTGATGTTTAAACAAGTCAGTTGCTGTATTTGATATAATTTTTGGATGGCCGTTGCTTGTAGAACTTTCGGTCCCCATGCAATGGCTCCATACGTTAACATAGGTCTTATTATTGCAGTGTAGATCCAGGTGACCACACGATGTGAAAGACCCCATGCGCGTACCACTGTCCTCCGACATTGCTCATAAGCCACGTATGCTCTTTTTGCTCTACTCTGTAGATGAGAGTTCCATGTTAACTTCCTATCGAGGATAGTACCAAGGTATTTTACGTCTTCAGAGAAGTTTAGTTTGCTTTTGAAGATTTCAGGAGGTTATAAGCCCGTTTAATTTCGCTTCCTGATGAAAAAGACCATCTCAGTCTTCTTGTGATTGATCGACATTAAGTGCTCCTTACACCATGTTTCTATTAACTTGAGCCCTTCCTGCGCTGCGGACATGGGTTAGGTATGTTGGCTTTGAGAACAGCTGTGGTTTATGCTTCGTTCGCATACACCTGTGACTTGAAGAAACCCTACAATGAAGTCTAACGGGGTGAAATCGCACGATCTAGGTGGTCAGTTCACATGACCTCCACGGGAGATGACCATGCCCTCAAATCGCCCGTGCAGAATATCCAATCCAATGTGGCACGTAAGGCCGTCCTGTTAAAACCACATGTCGTTGGTAACCAGATCATCCAATTCAGGACGAAAGAAGTTGGTAATCATCGACCTATACTGCTCGCCGTTGACAGTGATTGCCTGACCAAAAATATGGACCGATGAAGCCGCCAGCCCAAATTCCATATCAAACAGTGCAGGATATATATTATATCCTGCACTGACGCCTGTCAGATATAATCCAACGCCGTTCGGGGTATAAGCCAGTGGAGTAGTTGTTTTCCCTTCAACCTACTGTGTAGGTATATCCGAGACGGTCTTGAACGTTTAAAGTTTATTTCTTTTGATTTGTTTACTGCCTATCTTCAAGCATAGCCCATTGACTAATAAGAAAGTGTTCCTTCCTTATACAGAGAAACCGGGCAAATTTCGGATATGCAGTCGATTAGTACCTCGTCCACTAGATGGAGTGACATTTTTAATGTTCGCTCCAACTTAAGACGAGGAATGAAATACTCTGAAAGAATTTCGATAATTATAAAATATCATTGACTTCAGGTCGATGATGATCACAATGTTGCACTGACAAGTGGCTAAGGAACCCGAAACCGGTATACAAGTGTGCCCGTTCCAAAAGTGAAGGTCGACTCTTTCAGTTGTATTGCCAATTGCATATGCAGGAAATGTTCTGTGAAGATTCCTGCGCTGACGCCTGTCTGTTATTTTCTGATAGGCATCAGTCCATTCAACCTACTGTGTAGGTATATCCGAGACGGACTTGAACTTTTAAAGTTCATTCCTTTAGATTCACCTATTTTCATAAAATGATACTATTGTTTGAATGTGTTGTTGAATGATATATACCTCCATGGTGATTTGGCAAACAGAAATTTTTTATCGACGTTTTTTGGGTATTTTCACCTTCCACAATCTAAAAAATATGAAAATAATAATGGAGAATTTTACACAAGTCTAGAAAGGGAAAACTTTACAATTTATTCCGATAAAACAGGTAGCGAAGTACGATCTTGAAGAAAAATTTTAATAGTGGCGAAATGGCAACACACTGATATCGAAGAGCACCTTGCATTACATCGAATGTTTCAGTAGTCAATCGACAACTTTGACATAATTTACATTTCAAAATCCCTTCGACATCTGTCGAAGAAGTTGAGAAATGAATAGTCAGCAAAGGAAGAACTGTATAAGTATATGTTTGAATTTTTTGTACATTTCTGACGACGAAGACAGATTTTGGCTTCCGAAACTTCAAAATAAGTATTGTATTTCCAGATTGCTAGAGTGACATATCGCAGAAACCCGATGAAGATCCTGAAGGTTACCGTTTTCGCTACCTTAACCATTTTTTATAGGCAAAATTGTTAAATACGACAAGTTACTGATGAACAGAACCCTTTTCTTTATGAAAAATACTTAGATTTTACGCAGTAACTCATCGTAGTAAACTATAAAAATTGCCCTGTCTACACTTTTATAAATTTCTCCATTATAATTTGCATATGTTTCAGATTGAGGAAGGTGAAAATACCAAAAAAGGTCTATAGAAAACAGAAATTGACTGTTTTGAGTGAACTATTATCACAGTTATGGAAATTGCCTTTGACGATTTGTGAATTTTTTTTGAGTTGCTATTATACCATCATGGCCATGAGGGTTTAACAATAAATTAAACAATTATTGGATCTTCTTGAGCACCAATGAATATTCAAACGAAATAATTTCACCACTTTCCAAGCGTGATCAGATTATAAATTATTTTATTTATTTTTTCAACAGCTGTTGTTAATGTTGATCAACTTTCTCGTCCTACAAAACATTTATATCAGCATAAAGAATCATACGCTATGATTTCAACGGAGATATCAATAGACTGCAGATTTCCTTGGCATGATTTTTGTTTATGAATATCTGTAAGGTTAGTATTTCAATTAATTTGAGTGTAATTTTCCACGTAA